TAGTTATTATTTATTGTTGGATTATACTATTAGAATATATATCTAAAGAAGATAAAGACTCCAACTCTTTTTACCATGTTATGCATAACATCTGTCAGTGACACACAATAAATGTTCCGTAAACTTGGTGAAGAAGTGAATAAATAAATACAAGCAAACAGAGACAGGGATACTGTCTAATAGCATTGTCAGGATAAATAATTATTTTGGGTCTTTTGGGGAACATTATTACTGTGAGAGGGGAGGATCCTCTGTTTTCTTATTCGTTATCTTTTTTTTTCTTTGGTACGGAGGAACGAACTTGGGTCCTTGCGGTTGCAAAGCAGGCAGTGGAACAACTGAGCTAAGTTCCCAGCCCCTAATCCTCTATTTTCTTAGTCTGGATCCCTTAAAAGCTGAGGAAAAAAACTGTCTTGATTTTGAGACAAGACTTCGATGTAGACAGTTAATTGTGGGGAGGGTGTCTTTGAAGGTTGGATTAAAGAAATGCAGAGAGGTTGTAAAATTTTTTCTTTATGTATTTTGAGTTGTTTTACATAGTAATTTTTAAAACATCTAATTAAGAAAAAGTAAAAGAAAACATGCTAGACATATCTACAGGGATGTTCCCAACATCTCAGACTTCTCTCTAGGTCCCAGCTAGCATTAAACATCATCCAAAAGGACGCTCCTGTCCCTCATCTTGCTCCAACTCTTCCTTGTGCTTTTGGTTTGTTTTTTTATGACACCACGACCGACTGTTTCAGTCACCTGGCCTAAATGTGCCAGTCACGTTCTGCTTCTCCCCAGATACGTGCACTTGCTGTCATGCTGGCTTCCCCTGATGTGATATGAGTTCTTTCACTTCCTTGCCCTACATTCTACCTAAATTTACATCCAAGAACTTTCCTTTATGCCTACACCAATCTGTTAGTCATTAACTGTCACTTCTCTACTCATTTTACATGACATACACATTTGATCGTATATTGTTCTCCAAAACATATATTTTCCTTTTAAATTATAAACTGCTTAAGATTAGGGTCCACTCTTTGGACATCCTTGCATCTCCCAGAGGACTCAGCACATTGTTTTACAGATAACAATGAATGAACCTAACCATCAAGACTTACCTCGATTTATGATATTAGTGATATAAAGCTCGAATTATAGAAGGGATATTCCCAAAAATACTTAACTGAGCACATGTAGGGAACAGGGAAAGGGGACGTTACTAGACCCTTTGCAGTGAGTCCTAGTCTCCTGCGAGCCACGGCAGCACACGGCGAATTAACTTATTATACAGGAAAGGTAGAAAAAATGAGACTTGGAGAAGAAGCTGAGCTTTGGGTCTGATCAGTGCTGCTCTGGGTGGCAAAGACAAAGCCCTCAGCTTACCGCACCTTTTATTCAGTACTCAGTACATCATCGGGAGAAACAGATGTAACACATGACTTGCAGAGAGTTCAGTACATCGGGATAAACAAAGTGTAACAAATGACTGAGGGCTCTGGAAATCCAAGAACAAGGAGGAACCAAGTAGATGAAGACTTTTGTTCCTCCCAGGATGTCTTCAGCTGGTGTAATCTTGTCCTGGAGAATCCCAGCATCACCAGGTCATTGAGGTCTCAGTTGTGACCGGAAGCCAAAATGGAATTATGTCTTGAAATGTCACAGCTGGCCTGTGGGCAGGAGCACTAGGATTTTTCCCTAAAAATATGTAGCATTGCTCCCGACAAGCACCTACTGCTTGCCTGACAGCATATCAGGTGCTAGAGATACGTTGTTAAACAACTTTATCACAAAACATTTTCTGCTTTCGCATTGTGGTGAGGAAAGCATATTTAAAAAGGTTTTAAAGTGTCTGATTATAGATGTGAGATTTCTGAAGAAAATAACCAGGAGTATCACCAAGAGAATAATGTGGTGACACATTTAAACTAGATGGACCGAAAATCGTCTGGAAGAGGGATCATTAAACTGAAGCAGAAAGAAGGGAAAGAGGCCAAGTTCAGGCAGGGAGAACCCTACAAGCTTGAGGATGAAAAGGCTTGCACTGCACTTGTAAGGGAACGAAGGTAAGAGTGGCCGGAAGTATAGGAAGCCAGGTCAGAGGGCTCTCTTGGACCATGATAAATGTAGTCCGTACTAAAAGAGCAATGGGAAATCATTTGAAGAATTTAAGCAAGGAAGTGGGATGTAGGGTTGACTTAGAATTTTAAAAGCTCACTTTAGCTTCCATGTAGAAAATTGGTGAGGTGGAAGTGCATGGAGACCAGGCAGCAGATTATTAAATTGTCCGGGCGAATTTATTTAAAATGTCCCGGCCTCCAGAGAAAAGGTAGAAGCCACACAGAAGTGGATAAAAGTAAGATGGGTGCTTTTAAATCGTAGCAACTGAGTCTGCAGATAGCACTGCAGGAGTCAGAATGCTTGTAGGAAAAAAAATATAAATGGGTTTGAGATACATTTTACTGATGAAAATGCTAGGACTTAGTGATTATGGGTTCAGCGTTAGGATAAAGGAATCAAGGATTACTTTCCAATTTTCCATCCTGAACAACTGGGCAGATGGAGCGCTATGTTCTGTGAAGGAGAAGAAATCAGTTCCAGGTCTGTGACACAGTGACCACCAGAGAGCCAAGCAGGCAGCAGAATCTCTGGTGCTCAGAGGAAAGGTTCAGGCTGGGGACAAGGAGCGGGCGCTTGAGATATTTAGATGACATTTAAAGACATGGAAAACAGATCTAAAGAAAGAGCCTGAAAAGTGGAGGGAGGGTCCAGAATACAACTCAGGGGCTTTCCAGCCTTGACCACGGAGGGAAAGGAGCCAACAGAGGAGACTCAGAACGCCAAATAAGAAGGAGGTGGAGGGAGCTTCAAAAAGGGGGGGTGGCATCATTTCAAGAAAATCTTTAAGAAGAAGAAAGGCTTCCTCTTCTAACAACTCACAAGTGGTGTGAGCCCATTAGTATGCTCTCTACAGAGGAAGATGTCTTACTAGGACCACTTGCATTTTGTCTGCTACTCTTGAGTCAGTCCAGCTCCTGGGCCACAGCGGGCATTAACACGTATTAATCAAATGACATGTAGCAATCGAATGGCTCAAGATTTAAGCCCAGTTGAGAGTGAGGGATTGGCATCAGGCATTTCAAAAAGTTCTCTTCTCCCTCTCATCCTCTCTTCTCCACCTGATTTTCACACTTGCCAACAAAAGCTCTGATCAGAAAGAGATCAATATTTTCAGGTTTTGCCAAAGAAGTATCAACTCTCTCTTATTAGTGAGGAAAAAGGGGCTGATTTCTCAGCCTTGAGTGATAGGAACTGGGAGCTAACATAGCATGTGAAGAAATACTGAGTGGCTATTTCTGGAAAGGTAGTGACTGCAGCCCTAACCAGAGCCATAGAAATAAGGTTCCTTTCTATCAGCCACTCTGTGGCTAAATGATTTCGCCAGGCAACCTCTCTGGGTTCCTCTCTATGGCCCATTAATGCTGCCCCAGGTTGCTGGGGAGCTGCTTAGCCTGACCACTGCTCACGCTGACTATGCTGTGAAAAGGGCTGTGTTGGGTGTTCAGGTTTGGGGAAGGGAGAGAGAGAACTAGCTGAGGGTTCAGCTCAGTACCTAGCTTGGCCAGTGCCGGATGGGGGAGCAGGGCCTTTACTGCCCCTGCTTCCCAGAATGCAACTGCATGTTTGTGGCTGCAAACTCTAGGAATTACTTCCGAGTAACAGTGATGTGAACGAGATATAGAAGGGGCTTAAAATCAGCTTGTAGATCTATTGAGGAACACACACACACACACCCATTCTTCCCGGGGGATTTTGTCCATCACAAATGGTAGCACCACACACCCCATTTCCACTCGCAAAACACTAGCCTCACCCTGACTTCAGGCCCCATTCCTATCTAAGCTGTCTCAGCTCTGGAGTCTACTTCCCCTCCGTCCATCCGCTCTGCAGCTCACGCCTATGCTTGCTCTCTGGCTGTTCCTGACGAAGCCTCCAGAATGAGGTTTTCCTACGCAGTCTGAATTCACACTTCGGAGACCCATAGCAGACCAAGACAAATCTTGCGCCAGCTTCCCATCAGCCCCAACTAGAGTGTAAATCAAGCTGCTCCTCTGCTCTCCTCGGAAAGCCAGGATGGGTCTGCACTTCCCTGGCCAGGGCTACACCACAGCCACCTGTGCGCGGTGCAACTGCCCAGCCTGGCAACCTCTCCCTGCCCTACTAGAGCCCGCCCAGCTGTCTCCCTTCAAACCGGCTGACTCAACTCACTTGTCCTTCAGCTCTTTCTGTAAGTGTCCTGAACGCACCTGAACTTTCCCTGCGCTACCATGTGACTGAAGTCTTCCTGAAGACTTGGGGCAAACCTACCTCCTCCATAAGGAGACGTGAGGATCAGAGAGCCAGGGCTCTCAGGAGTCTGCGCGACAACTTAAGACCCATAACCACCTGTGGTTGGCTGAGGATGAGGCTCGGAGCCCAGCTTAGGTTCCTGGTGGGTCTCCAGGGCAACTTCCGGATGCTCACTGGGACCCTGCCCTTTCCCTCGGTCTACACCCCTGCGGCAGGGCAGGCGTGTCCCCTGGCAACTGACTGGTGGTTGGGGAGGGGGACCAAGAAGGGGACAGGCACTGTTGAGTGAGCCAAATCCCAGCCGCCTGCGTTCACCCAGGGCTGGCCGGTTGGGTCAGTGGCCGCCCAAGGCGCTGTCATCCCGAGGCCCAGGCCGCTGCTCTGCCACCCAGGCGCGCAGTCGGGGCAGAAGGGGAACTGCAAGGAGGAAGGAAGTCGGCATAAAAGGGTGCGGGGCTGTGGGGTTTGAAGAGAATAGCCACAACGTCTCTGACACCAAAATGTCCCCTAGGCCATTCTTTTTGTTGTCTTGTTTTTAATTTGTGGACCACGGGATAATTTCTCTACCCACTGATTAAGAAAAACCCCACACAGGACCTCATTAACCGAGAAAGATCTGGAGTGGCCTCCCTCCTAGCTCGAGGCTGGCCACGGGCTGAGGCGGGGTGCTCACGATGGGGCCGTGCACGGGCCGGGCCCCCGTGAAAGGGGGTGGCACTGTCCCCTGCGGGTCCACTCGGGCTGCGGCCCAGAGCCCCAGCCCTCGCACGCTCGGCGGGCTGCAAGGCCGGGCGGCGCATCCGGCGCAGCCGAGGTCCCCCAGCGCCCCCTACAGCTGCGCGCGGGGGGGAGACGGAGCCGGAGCCGGACCCCCGCGCTGGGCACCACGCCCAGGACCCAACCCGGGCCGGCGCCCCGGGACGGCGCGCCCGCATCCCCAGGCCGCAGACTCCAGGCGCGGGGCGGGGGGCGAGCGGTACCCCGGCCCCTTGGTCGCCCCGCCTGCTGCGGCCCTCCCTTCCTTTGCGCGTCCCTCCTCCCCGCTCCCCACCCGCCGGCGCCGGACACGCTGCGCTTCAGCAAGTGGGGCGCTCTTCGCCTCGGCCGTGTCGCCTCCCGTGCAACTTTGGGCAGGAGCCGAGGGGTGTTGGATGTTCCCCAGCCGGAGCGCATGGCTGCTGCAGCGGGGCGCGGAGCCGGACCCCGCGGGGCCGCCGTCCGGGGAGCCGTGCTGCTACTGCTGCTGCTGTGCCTGAGGGTCCCCGGAGCGCACCCCTACAACGTGGACGCGGAGAGCGCGCTGCTGTTCCGGGGCGCCCCCGGCACGCTGTTCGGCTACTCCGTGGTGCTACACAGCCACGGCCCGGACCGCTGGTGAGTGCGGACTCCGCTCTCCGCGCCCAAACTGCACTCCCTCCCCGGGGAGGAGGCAGGAGCGCGGCCCCAGCCCGCAGCTGGAGCCTGGCCGGGGAAACTGGTCCGGAGACGCCGCGCCCCGGGAGCGGTCAGGCCCGGCCCTGGGGCGAGTCGGGCGGGGTTGGGGCGCTGGCGGGCAGCGGGGAGCTCGCTCTGAGCACGTGCGCCGCTCTCGCCTAGGCTCGTCGTGGGGGCGCCCACGGCCACCTGGCTCGCCAACGCGTCGGTGCTCAGTCCCGGGGCCATCTACAAATGTAGGATCGGAAAGAATCCAAGCCGGACGTGCGAACAGCTTCAGCTGGGTGAGTTGGGTCTGGGAATAGGAGGTTGTGACCCTTCTTCCCTCGTGGACCCCACTGGAAGACAAATCCTGGAAAAAGTCCTGACCCCAGTTTCTTCTGCTTCAAATCTCTTCTCCTCTCCCTTCTTCCAGACAGTATTTCTCTCCTTTTAGCGTATGGCATGAGTGCGCTACTGTGACAAAACTTCGTCAGGAAAGTTTCTTAAGCTACATCTTCTCTTCCACCTCTCCCCGTCCTCCATGTGTGAAGCACGTTTCCGACTCTGAGTGTGTTAAAGACAGTCCCGCTAAGCCATTATTTTATTTCTGTCTTTGACCTATGAACTTTGTTAGACAGCAGGCTAAAGGGCAGACCAGGCATAGTAGCTGGAATTGATCCCGTAGTCTGGCATTTCAGCCTAAGGGCTTTTTGGGTTGTTGTTTAAAGGAAGTGATACAGTTTCACTTAGAATATACAGTGTAAAAGAAGAGGGTAAAGACAATTTGGCATCTCCATTGTTAATAGTTAACGTGAGCTTTAATATATAATCATTAGTTTTCCTTTCCAAAAACTCCCATGTTAAATGGGCCTGTCTTTATGCTGTCATTTCTTCATGTCTTTTCTTAGGTTTGTGCCAATTTGAAAATGTATATTGATGGGGGAGGGGAGAAGTTTCATATTTCAAAGTCAGAAGTCCATTTGCTGCAACAAATACGTGAAGAAAAAAAGGGGAAGCGATATTAATTCAGCCCTGTCTTGTTCCAAACACTGTCAGGCACTGCTGCATATACTGCTCAAATTTTTTTCCCTCCGAGAAACCCTGGGTTACGTTCCTATTTTATGTATGAGGCCTTTAATTTGGAGTTGGGAATGCCTTTACTGACCTCATGAGTGGCAGATGGGACACCAAGCCAAAGTCAGCTTTGCTTGGGTGCAAAACGTAAGCCTTTTAATTTCATATATGTATCTTTAGTGCACATAATTAATGGAAGGCTCCAGTATGTTGTGCTGAACTGATAGACCTGCTGTAAGTGGCGAATAAAAGGTCACAATTTGTACTTTTTTCATATTTACCTTCACTATAGATGAACTTTTGAGAATAATCACTTTTGGCACCTTTAACTACTCTTTAAAAGTGGCAGTCTTTGCTTTTTCTCAAACTGTGGAGCTGGTTTCCTTCAGAAGAATTCAAATAGAGCATGGCCACAATAAATACTTTTCTCTCAGAGTACATTTGTCTGTAGCATGCAGAATAGGACTCAACCTTCTTTAAGCATCCCCCTTCCCAAAACACAGATGAGGCATGCATGAAACATGCACAGACTGAGAGTGGGAATCATTTTGTAAAGCAGGACTTTCATTTCATAAAAGAATTGTGGGAAGAATTAGGGAGTGAAGCAGACAACCTTGATCTGCCAGAGGATCTTGACAATGTCTCGGTAGGGAATAATTTCTTTTTTGTTGTTCTGCAATAGTTTCCAGGTCTGTGACATTATAACTGTCACTATTTAGCACCTATTTCCTGTCTGCAAGGGCACAGAATCTATTTCTGGATGTGTATGTTTAACTGAAACGTTCATGTCATAATATTACATAAAATTTTAGACAATAATGGCTGATGTTTGAAGGAAAACTAAAATTAATTGGGCATTTAGAGTGTATGGATTGACTACAGCAATTTTCTTAGAGAAATGTGGCCCTGGTAGATGTATAAAAAACTATAAATTAAATGGAAATTTATTGCGTGGATGAAGAAAACCGAAGTGAAAGTTTGGCATCAACTTGACTAGTGAGTAAAAGAATTCATTAGAAATGATAAGCCAAAGTGATATTTTAACTTTCAGAATGTTGGTCAATATAAAAGGAACTGACTTAGATGAAGGGCAAAAAGGGATACAAAATTCCTAGTCAACTGGTTGAAATATTAATAGCTGTAGCAATAGTTCTAAATATTTGTAAAATAGTTTCCTAGTTATTTCTTTGTTTTTTAGGGTTTGGCAGTTTGAGAATTTTTAGTGGTACATAATGTTTCCATTCCTTTTGTGGAATTGGTACGGGTACACAACACATCTTAATTCCTCTTTCCATTCCCCTTGAGTTCTTTCCTTACCTCTTACCTCTATCTGTTGATCCCCTTCTCATTTGAGAAAGATATATCTAGCTTACATATTTCATGCTTTTTCTTCTGTGAGAAATAAAATAGCAAAACAAAAGACATAATAAGAAGTAGAGTGACTGAAGTTATTTCTCATGTAATGTTCTGAGCAGTACATCTTTTCTTCCTTATATAAAGCAACTGTCTCTATTTAGGGCAAATTCAGAACTAACTTAAAGCTACAAGAGAAAAGATTGAGCCTACAGTCTAGAAAGAAAATACTGAAAATAGTAAACTGATACAGATATCTTAGGATTGTAGGGTTTGTGGGCTATGTACGATTTCTTATGAAGAAGTTTTGTGTGTGGCACACACATAAACATAGAGAAATTTCTATATAAGATGGTTTTAATTATCTTGTCTCAACTGTCAGTGATTGTAATTTGTTTGGAAAATGTTTGATACTTAGGAGACATTCAAAAATATGAGTTTATTTACTTTCTACTTAAGTCTGTATTTGTAAGTTGTCTGTAATGAACAAGTCAATGTAAATAAATGGGCTATATTAGTTAGTTTCCCCATTTCTGGGATACTATACGTGACACCAAAAACTTAAAGGAGAAAGTTTATTTTTGGTGTATGGTTTCAGGAGAGTCAGTCCAAGGCAGGAACATCACGGCAGTGCACAGCTGCTTAGTTAATGGCTGCAGGGAAGCAGAGCAGGGCAATGGTGCTAGTGAAGAAGAGGCCAGAGACAATATATATTACACATGGTCATGCCTCCATGACCCAGCCAGACACACTAAGAGGCATGCTTTACTAATCCCTTAGTTGTCTGCCACACCAGTCAAGTTGACAGTTAAGCTTAAACATCACAAGGGCCAATTAATATATGAAACCGAATGTGAAAAAATTAAATGTGTGAATTAAAAGATAACAGTTGAACTAAAACATAACAACAGTATTTTCTTGTTAGCTCATCAAAAGTGTTGTAAGATTAAGTTACGATTGTTAGGTCAGAAAGGTGTCCCATTACATTTGGAGTCACCCGCTGTTGTGAATCTGAAGGTACAGGGTCTCTTAGAATGGTGCTCATCTCCTATGAAATTCAGAACACCTATGTCAACTATTCTCCAAGTCTCTGTGGGATGTCACATCAATGACTGATTCAGATAAACTCCTTTCCTCAGAAGAGGAGGTTACTAGCTCCCCAAACTGCTGTACTCTGCGGATGATGTTATATACCATGCTATAATTACTGTAACCATAATCAGAATCAAGCAGTAAGTAACCATTTATCTAGAATGCTCAGAATGGGAGATGTTGGGAGTTCCTGTTTAGAAAAGTGAATTTACTGCAGAAGTGGCATCAAGACAGTTAACAGTACTGCACCATGAGGTGCTTTTCTTCCTTCATACTCAGGCTGTTTTCACCTCACTGCCTCCCTGAGAGGTATCCCATCTTACTTCTTTCATAATTCCCTCCATGAACTAAAGGAAGGTGATCATGAAGACTGAGGAGGCTACGGTGATTCCTACATGCCCACTTCTTTTCCATCCAGTACTCTGTCTGCCTGAGCATTTGATCACAAATGGTTCCTGAATCAGGGAATTGTCAATAATGACCCCACTAATATAGTTACACGTAGTCTATCCATGGACTACCAATAGACAAAGAATTAGAATATAATAAAAGACATCAATAATTAAAAAATTATACTTCCAAGTCTTTGATTGTTTGAAAGACACTCCGGATCTTTCCTTATTTCAGTATTACATACACATATACACCTGGGTAATAAGGTAACTTAATCATTAGTCAGATGTGGCTATTTAGCACATGAAGTGACTACAATGAGTGGTGCTGTAATGTGAGTTACAGTCTAGATTTCAAAGCCACTGGACAAAAAGTTTAAGAAATTAATTACATTTGAAATCAGTACTTAAAGTTAAATATTTTATTAGTCATTTTCCCATTGCTGGGACAAAATACATAACACACACAACTTAAAAGAGGAGAGGTTTGTTTTGGATCATAGTTTCAGAGGATTTAGTCTATGCATAGTTGGCTGGATTCAAGGCAGAAATGGCATGGTAGAAGGGCATGGGGACAAACTGTTCAACCCATGGTGACTAGGAAGCAGAGAGAGAAGGGAAGACCTAGGAACAAGAATACATTCTTCCAAGACACAATCTCAGTGACTCACTTCTTCTGACCCTCACCTCCTAAAGCACTTTCAGCTAAGAAATCATCAGTGGATTAGCCCACTGATGACTATAGCATTCCCATGTTCTAATTACCTTCCCAAATCCCTACCTCATGAGACCTGGGGGGACACATGAGACTTGGGGGGACATTTTAGATTTAAACCATTACATTCTACCCTTGGCCCCCTAAGTCCCATGTCCATCTCATTAAGAAAAATGCATTTTAGTGTATCTCCAAATGTTACCTGCCAGCATTGCTGAAAAGTCCAATCTCCTCTGAGACTGAAGGCAAACTCTTAGCTGTGAGCCCCTGTAAAAATTAAAAAGAAAAGTTAAATAATTCCAATTTAATGACACAGGGTAAATATTTCCATTCCAAAAAGGCAGAATAGGAGGATAGAAAGGAATCAAAACAAAACCAGTGGGGCAAACATTTAATCCTGTAGCTCTATGACTAGCACCCAGGGCAAGTGGTGGTGAGGCGGGAGCTCAAAAAGCTAGGGCTACCCTGGGCCTGTGGCTGTGTTTGTTGCAGCCCACATAGCCTCTTTTTTAGGGGTGGCTTTGCTTCATGCCTGCATTTTTCCTCAGCAGATGTTCCATATTCCTGGCATCTCCAACTTCCTGGGTCTCCACTGCCCCCTTGGCTTCCCTCTCATAGCTTCATGTACTGCTTCTGTGCCCTGCCTCCTCATTCTCCTTTTGCAATCTGGGTCAAA